GAGTTTAGGGCTGTTGTACATAGGGTCGCTATGAGTCGCAGGCGACTCGACGGCACATAACAACAACAACATAATTATAATTAAAGTCCATTATTATGATGTTATAATTCCTATATTAAAGAGTACTGGTGACTTAGTGATAAGGAGTTGTACTACCAATCAAAAGACACTCAATTAAATGTACCAGCCGGTTTAAAAAAAAAAAAAAAGATAGACAATCTTCTCTAGTACATATTATTGCCTCTGAAAACCCTCTGGAGGGTCACTCATGGGTTTGTTCTGACTTGATGGTATATAACAACACATTACATAATGAAGAAATAGTCATTGTACAAAGATTAAGATATGCATCTAGAATTCAACATAATAATGTTGTTATTATGTATCATTGAGTTGCCTGTGACTCATAGCAACCCAATGCACAACCACTGTGAAGCCTGCCTTGTCCTGAGCCAGTCTCACTCACTCCCATTGTCCCAGTTCCTGTATCAATTCATCTCATCTGAGATCTTCTGCTCCTGTGCTGTCCCCCCACCTTTCCGAGTGTGATGTACCTCTCTAAGAATTGATCCCTCTTGGTCACATGCCCCAAGTATGTGAGATGGAGCTTTAAAAGCCTACCCTCCAAGGAGAAACTTGATTTCACCATCCTCTCCAAGACAGACCTATTTGTTTTCTTAGTGGTCCATGGTATGTATGTTAAGATTCTTCTCCAGAACAACTCAAAGGCATCAATTTTTCTTCTGTCATCCTTAGTCATTGTCCAGCTCTTTGACACATAGCAAGTAATTGCGAAGACCATGGCCTGGATCAGGTGCACCTTAGTCTCTACACTGACATTGTTGCTTCTCCATACTCTGAAGAGGTCCCTGACAGCAGGTTTCCACAGTACAATTAATCTTTTTATTTCCTGACTGCTGGTGCCAAGACTATTGATTGTGGAGCTGAGTAACCTTTAATGGTTAACAATCTCAATCGCTTCTCCATCTATCATAGTGCTGTCAATTGGCCCAGTGGTGAGAATCTTTGTCTTCTTGATGTTGAGCTTCAATCCATGTTGAAAGCTACAGTTCTTGATCTTCTGCAGCAAGTGCTTCGGGTTCTCTTCAGTTTCAGCAAGCAAGGTTGTATCATCTGCATAATGTAGATTGTTGATGAGTTTTCCTCCAATCCTGATGCCACATTCCTCCTCATAAAGCCCAGCCTCCCAAATGATTTGTTCTGCATGTAGATTGAAAAGATATGAAGACAGGATGCATCCCTGATTCACTCCTTTCCTGATTTTGAACCATGCAGTGTTTCCTTGCTCTGTTCTGAATACTGCTTTCTGGTCCAAGTATAGATTTTACATAAGTACAATCAAATATTCTGGTATTCCCATTCTCCTCAAGGTTAGCCACAATTTGTTTTGATCCACAGTCAAATGCCTTTGCATATTCAATGAAACACAGATAGACATTCCAATATTATTCTTTCCTTTGTGCCAAGATCTAGCTGACATTGGCAATAACGTCTCTTGCTATGACTCTTTTAAACAGCTTTTATTTCTTGTAGTTTTCTGTCCATGTACTGTTTCAGTCATTTCTGAATATTCTTCTGCAGGATTTTGCTTGCTTATGATATTAGTAATATTGTTCAATAATTTCCACACTCTGTCAGGTCACCTTTTTTGGAAATGGGAATAAATATAGATCTCTTCCAGTCAGTTGGTCAGGTAGTTGTATTGTTAAGTGATGTTGCTATTGTTGTTAGGTGTCATCGAGTCAAGTATGACTCATAGTGACCCTATGAACAAAAATCTGAACCCTCTTCTATCCTATATCATCCTCACACTTCCTGACACACAAGAGTCCATTGTGGAAGTCACTGTGTCAGTTCACCTGGTGGAGGGTCTTCCTCTCCTTCATTGACCCTCCACCCTTCCCAGTATCATGTTTCTCTGCGAGGAATAGCACCTTCTAGCAACATGCCCAAAGTACATGAGGCACAGCCTCATCATTCTTGCCTCCAAAGAGCACTCTGACCACACCCTGTCCAAGATATATCTGGTTGTTTTTTTGGCCATTCATGGGATGTTCAGTGCTCTTCTCCAACACCATAACTTAAAGGCATCTATTCTTCTTCTGTAATCCTTATTCAATGTCCAGCTCTCAGATGCATAAAAAGTGATTGAAAAGACCATGGCCTGAATCAGAGGCACCTTATCCTCAAGCTGACATCATTACTTCTCAAAAATTTGGAAAGGTCCCTAACTGTAGATTTTCCTAGTGCAATGTGTCTCCTTATTTCCTGGCTGCTGGTACCATGAAAAAGGGGTATACATTTTAATCACAAACTTAAGTAAAACCCTATATATAATCACAAAGGCTCACAGTGCCAGGCTTAAAGGAATTAAAAGTTTTAGTCTGTGTAATGATTAGTATAATAAATAAATAATAAATATTAGCATATCTCAATGCTGTAAGAGTTACAAACTATTCTTTGAAACTTCCTAGGTTCTTTTTTGTCACTAAAACACATTTTGGTGTCAGGGTGGCATGTATAAACTGAGTATGAAAAAATATTAATGTAAGAAGCCACTTCATATTAAAGTCTCTTAGGTTTATTATCTTTATTTTCTAAAATAAAATAAAAATTGAGAGTAATACCTCAATCAAAGAATTGTGAACAAGTGGAAATCTGTTAAAATCCACATAAAATCCACACAAAAGGCTTATTTGTAAGGAGGTCTATAGAATTCCAAGTGAATGGATGACAATGCAAGAAGAAATATTTGTCTTGGTAAGCCAGTGGGCATTAGAAGAAGAACTCAAAATGTAAGCAGGATTTTTCACAAAAACATATGGAAATTTATTGTAATGACACCCACAAAGACCCAGAGACCAAAGGAGGAAATACTTAGAAAGAAAAATAGTTTTTCTATTACACAGGGTATGCCACCTTTACAAGTGAGATCACACATTTATGCTTTTTATTTCCATTTTTCTCATTTTACCTCATCACATAAAAATTGCAGGATTATTTTTGCATATGAAAGATCTGTATAAAAATTAAATTAAAACATAAGTAAATTGTTGATGTACAAACTTCATTTTTAAAGCAACTTAGTTAAGAAAATGTTTTAGAACGTTTGAAAAGATAAGGCTAAAATTTACATTAAAATTATGATAGAAAGATGAATGATTCATATCAATTATTCATCAATATTAAATTATGCTTTTACTTGAAAGTGCATCACTCCAGGGAAAATGGTTAGGAAATTATATCAGCCAAATATTTTTTAAGTAATTGATGAATTCTAAAATAAGGACAATAAAGCCTATTTCACAAGAATTTTGTTAAAGTGAATGAAAGAACAAAAGTAAAACACTCCATCCTTACTACAATTTGTGTTTTTAAATGCTTATAGTGTTTGTCATTTATCCATCATAGTTATTAAAAGAGAAAGAAAGAAGACAAGGAAAGGAAGGAAAAGAGAAGTATACAAGAAATCAAACGGTCTAGAAAGAGAAGAGAGCAAAAATTGTACAATAATATATTACTCTGAAACAAATGAGAGGGACATGAATTTCATACCTTTAACTATAAGTTGGGATGTTGGAATGTCGCTCTTTTTCTCTGCTTGTATAATCAGCGTCATGTATCTTTCTTCTTCTGACATTTTCATGTGTGTGGGTATATATGTATGTGTTTTCTCTTCTGAAGCACGATATATAATAAGGGGAAAAATGAATGCTTGCTACTAGTAAGAAATTGAACTCACAGCGTACATACAAGAGTTCACAGATGTGAAAACCTCAGAGGAAATGTGTTTTTAAAGCTATTTCCTATGACTTAAATAATATGTGAATTTTATATTCTATCATGTATATAATCAAATATATTTAACACTTTCACAAGTCGTCTCCTGAGGGAACCTGGAAGTTAAGTGAATTAAAATTATATGCAATTATAATAAACAACATGTAATTGTCTTTTGTTTTAGCCTATTTTTTTTACATTTATTTTGAGTTCTTCTTCTGAACATACGCAATTAGAATGCACTGACTTTTCTGCAAGAGAAAGACTGACAATCTTCTGTGTGATTTGCAGCCTCTATAAAACCCCTGTAGGATCAGTTATGAGTTGGCTCCCACTCAATGACTAATATGTCAATATTTATGTGTTCCATTTCTTTCTTAACAATTTCTAATTTTCCTTCATTCATGGCTCTCACATTTTATGTACCAATCACTAGGGTCTGCTTACAGCTGTTCCTCGTCCCTTGTGTTTCCATACTTGATGGTTCTACCTA